CACCTGACGTCAGTGTTTGTGTACGGCAATCAGACTTGTGTGTGTATATGTGTGTAAATAAGAAAAAAAGGGAGAAGGGCGCTACATCACTTACCATTTTAGCTTATCATTGGCACCCGCGGAGAAAGTCGAGGATTTGAGTACCTCTCCCATCTCTTCCCTGCAGAAACTAAAGTTGTTGATCGTCCACATATAACTGAACTTTATAACTTTAACCTGGGGAGCAAAGAGAAAAATACAGGATTAGTCGACGGTACCTTTTAAAATATGTATACAATGTACATATATAAATGTCATCAGAATATACATCCAATATAAATACTATAATACCAGATTCAGTAACATGAAACTAAGTGATCATTGCAATCAAAATATCATTCAGCTACTGCCAGGACACGCCCTCAAGTGCCAGGAGGTTCGAGTAACAAGTCCCTCTCAAGCTGCCCTTGGTCAGCTGTGGTTCCCTCGCCAGCAGCTGTCACGAAGCCTGCCACGCCGATCACGTCCACATGCAAACCGTCAAATTTCTGCTACATCTTCCCTGCTCTTTCGCTCTTCTCATTCATCGCGCCAACTTCATACTGATCTAATGAATGACGGAAGTTGCAGTCTTCTGTCCTCTCTCTTTACAGGGTCCCATTCGCTTTCATTTTCTTTGCGATCTCTCCTCTCCTCCCATCTCTCACTACCTACTCTGCCAATCTCTCCTCTCTTCCCTTCTCTCCTCCCTCCCTCCCTCCCTCTCTCTCTCTTTTTCTCTCTCTCTCTCTCTCTCTCTCTCTCTCTCTCTCTCTCTCTCTCTCTCTCTCTCTCTCTCTCTCTCTCTCTCTCTCTCTTCCCTATCATCCCCTCACCATCACCCTTCCCTTCCCTTCCACCTGCATGTTCTTGTTTCCTCTCTCAAGCCTCAAGCCGAGGAGCATCTCACGGGTGACCTTGAGAAGCGAAGAGGCAGCAGAGCCATCAGTCACCATGGCAACGGCCCCTCCCCCTAAATATCCCTCCCTAAATTTGCACTCCCCGGTGCCTGTGTCTAACCTCTCCAAGCCCCTTTACTTTTATAATGCTCACAGAAATTTATCAAAAGCTTGCCTACGACCACGACCGACTACAAGGACGACTCCCCCAGAGAACGAAGACTCTTGAAAGAAGTTATTGACTGACGCAATTGTCCCTCGTCCCTTTGACTTCGGCTCCTTGGCAGTGAATGAATGAATGAGTCCGCGCGAATACATGAAAGAGCGAGCGAAAGGGAGATAGATACAAGCATACGTAAATAGATCGAACTAGGGATATAGTCAAGGAGAAAGAAAGGACAAAGGAAGGGAGAGGGAGAGGGGGAGGGCGAGGGAGAGGGAGTAGATGTGGAAAGTGGGAGAGGAAAGGCGGGAGTGGGTGTGAGAGTGAAGAGGAGAGGAGGGAAGAAGAGAGTAAGGTCGGGAGATGTTGGGATGCAGAAAGAGGGAAAGAGTGGAAAGGGAGAAAAGACAGAAAGGGACAGTGGTAGTGAGAGCGAGAAAGAGTGAGAGGGAGGGGAGAGGGGAGAAAAGGGAGACGGGAGCAAGGAGAGGGGAGAGGGGGAGGGAGAAGAGGGGCACGTACCTGAGTGTAGCACCAGTTCTCGGCGACGGGCATGTTGTTCTCCGGCGGCAGCGGAGACGGCACCCGTGACACCGACATGCTCACGCCCCCCGAGGACACGTGTCCGCCTCCGCCGTGAACCGAGTGGGCGTGGCCGACTGCAACACGATCACGGACCAGGTTACCACGTGCTATCATGGTCATAAATGGGATTAATAGCATCAGGCATAAAATGGTACAAGTGTATTCAGTATGGGAGCGCACGGAAAGAAGAGGTTGTCATGGCAAACGGAGTCAAGGGACACTTACCCAGCGCGGGATGGTGCGCGGGGGGCGTGTGGGCTTGGTGAGGCACGGCTGGGTGCTGCTGCACGCCCGCGTGCGGCACTGCTACGTGCGCTGGAGCCGCCGCCGCCGCAGCGAGAGGAGGAGGACCCTGGTGGGGCTGTGGCGCGCCTGCTGCGGCTGCTACGACGACAGCTGCCGCCGCCTGCTGTTGCTGCTGCTGGTGCTGCTGCTGGAGGTGGGGGGCGTGGGCGTTGGCCGCGTTGGGCGCGGGCTGAGGCTGTGGCTGCGCGTGCTGTTGCTGAGCGTTGTTGGCAGTCGGAAGGGCGGGCGCGGCGATGGCGGGCTGAGGGTGCTGCTGTTGTTGCTGTTGCTGCTGCTGCTGCTGTTGTTGCTGCTGCTGCTGTGGCGGTGCTTGGTGAGGCTGTTGGTGCGGCGGCTGCTGGTGTGGCTGCTGTGGAGGCTGCGGCGGAGGCTGCGGTTGGGGCGGCGGGGGCGGGTTGTTATTGGAGTGGGGCTGAGGCGGCAGAGCCCCCGACACGCCGCCGGAGCTCCCACCGCGCGACTCCACCGTGGCGGCTGAGGCGGCCCAGCACACCCCCGACCCCGTGCCGCCTCCCCACACTCGGCACACCTGAGGACACAAACAAACCGGTTAAGAACAACACTCACGAAACGGAACGCCAAAAATATAATGGCGCAAATAACAACATCAATCGCCTGGATACTTCCTCCAGAGCTAAACCTATTCGCGCACCAACATGATTTCCGAAGGAAGTCGCCTTCCACGAGAACCTCTTCGGCGAGAGGGACGGCGGGGCCAACGCCTGTGGTGTGTGCGCGCGCGCGTGTGTGTGAGAGAGAACGCAAAGAGCTTGAGTTGGTAAAAAAAATATATATATATATATACATATATATACACATATGTATATATATCCACACATACACACACACACACACACACACACACACACACACACACACACACATATATATATATATATATATATTGGAACAAATTTACGCACCATACAGCTGTTCCCATAAATAAAATAAAATCGTTATAAAGTGTTTGTAATGCAAGTCAATCAAACGATGGCAAGTATGCAGAAGTGGACCGAGAAAACAGAAAAGAGGATCGACGGCCAGGAAAAGAAAGCAAGAAAGGAAGGGATGAAGGACGCAAGGAAGAAAGAAACTTAAAAAAAAAAGAAAAAAATACAGAAGAGAAACAGGCAAGACGAGAGAGAGAGAGAGAGAGAGAGAGAGAGAGAGAGAGAGAGAGAGAGAGAGAGAGAGAGAATGGACCCCACTCTACCACATTAATATACATGAAAACAAAACGTACAGCTTTACAGCCAGCTTTCTGCCGGCTTAGAATTAAAAATAATAATAATAATAATAATAAAAATAATAATAAATAAATAAATAAATAAATAAATCCTCCCCTATTCGACTTCATGGCGAATAATAACAAAACATACATAAAACTAATGAAATAAATCAATAAATAAATAAATTAATTAATTAATAAACAAACTTTCTCAGAAACTCGATGCACTACAAAAAAATACGAAATGAATTCTCAGGTATAGATTAAAAATCAGTGTGTAGAAATAGTGTTACGTGTTAGATCATACAAGTATACGCAGCCAGCCGGGGTGTTGGAGGTCACCAGGGCAGCGTCCGTGTCACCACCCATTTAAAACTGCACCGTCGATTTGACAACACTGGGTCAACTATGTATGCCACGATACTAATTCAAGAGAACGGCTTCCAAAAATAGAACACAGACAAACAAAGAAACACACAAAGATGTATACAAACACACACACACACACACATATATATATATAGAACGTTTCATAGATCGATGAATCTACAAACAATAAACAAAATCTGGGAAACAATATATCACGTACAGTTAAAAAAAAAACGTAAAGAAAAGAAAATATGAAAAACTACCACCTTCACTCGCCCCCCCTCCCGTCCCCCCCTCCCCCCTCCCTCCCACAGCTCGCTCAAACGCCCGCGATGATGATGTCACAGCCTTGCACGAGCTCGCAGCCCCCGGAGTACATAGCACGCCCGGCCTTGGGAGCCCGACATGACCATTGTGGCAGAGGTCATCACCGCGCTTACTTCCGCGCCCACACTCATCACCCGGAACATGGGACACGTCGCCTCGAATGAGTTACGCCCACACCTCGCCTTGGGGACGCTGCGTCGGACACCTGGTCGCCAACACCACTGGAATCCTCGTGCCACGCTCGCTCGCTCGGTCCGTCTGCTTCTTGCCCGTGTCTGTCTCGGCCTCTGCCTTTGTCTGTCTGTCTGTCTGTCTCTGTTTTCCTCCTTCCACGTTTTCTTTCCTCCGCAAGCATTTTCGTCCGCTATTTCCCTCCTTCCTGGTTTCACTCGTCTGTGAAATCTTTCAGAAGTGTTTCCCGGTCACAAGGTTACTTGCTAAAAAAAAAATATGACACGCATAAAAGTTGAGAATGAAAAGTGGCCAGAGAACAGAAAATAACTAAAGATAAACAAGACGAAGAAATAAAAGACGCAGGACGAAAGGAAAGAGAAGAACAGATGAGGGAAATGAAAAGGGAGTGAACGAGAATAGGGGGAAGGCCGCTCAAAAGGGAAAGGAGAGGGAAGCAGAGAGAAGAGGACTGCGAGCGAGCATATCGAGGCTCACGGCCGCGGCCACAGAACCTGACAGCAGCCAAAATGTCGCCCGTCGCTGGAAAACGGGATCACGGTCGGCACGGTGGCCCTCGCCCGCTCCCATCCTTCCCCCTCCCTCGGCCCTCTTCCCTCTCTCCCCGCCTTCGCCCCTCCCTCGGCCCTCGCCGCCTCGCCCCTCCCCCTTCCCGGCCTCCTCCTTCCTTAACACACTTCACCGCGTTACACTTCCTCGTGTGTGCATGTGCCCTCGCATGGAGATCCGTCTAGATGGCCGTTCGTCCGTCCGTCCGTCCACCACTGTTGTTAGTTCGCACGAGTTGCGTATACAAACACACGAATGAACACAGCCTAAGCGTAGACACTGAAAGCGTGCTTTCACCAAATGCTTTTAAACGGTCCGTGAAGTTACCTGCCACAACCCACACAGTCTTGTCAGTCACATTACACTCTCAGATCCACAGCGTTTCTTCAACGTGCGAGGACTGTTCCGCGCGGGCTCCACAACCACAGACAGGGTGGGCCTACCTCTCCGTCGAGAGCAGAGTGCCACTGAGATACGTGAGGCAAGCACGGAGAGGGGAAGGCGGGAGAAGCACAAGCACGTCCTGTGCTTGCGTGGTTATGACTGGAGGCTCGCGCAGTTGCCAGCAGCGAGGCAGCGTTGCCCCCTCTCCTCCCCTCGCCCCTCCCACCAATACCGGTCCTGGACACGCTTGTAACTTCTTTTTTGCCCTCGCAAGCGCCGCCAGTCTCGTCCAGTCCGGGCAAAAATACACACCTGGATGCTGGCGAGGAGGCTTTGATCTCAAACCAGGCAACACGAAGCCCGGCCCTCAAGGCACGCCAAATATACTTCATGGCCGTCCTGTCTCGACTGAACTGGGGCCTCCAAACACACAGTACGCAGTGGTAACCTACAGGAGACGCTGTGTAACGCAGTAACTACATAGGGCGGATTATGTTCACTGGGAAGGATCGAGGGAGGACGAGGGATAGGAAGGGGGAGAGGGAGAGGGGGAACAGAAAGAGAAAGAGAGAGCATGCGTGCCGACAAACGCGGAGCTTGGCGTACACCATAAGCACGTGCGCTGCTGAACGCTGAATGAGGACTGATCATCTACGAGTTCTTGCTTTTAGCCAGTCATGCCCCGCTGCTACCGCCTGAGAATGAGGAAAACGTGAAACTCGGCGAAACCAAGCATCCTTGGGGCCACGGCGGGCGTCGTCACCGCTCGCCAGACCCGATCACAGCTCCTGCCGACGCGACGACCAAGAGCTTCCCCCTTGATTGCGAACATGCGCTGGGAGATGGCGCTTCGAATCCTCGAGCATGATTTGTCTCTTTGTGTTTTCCCGCCCAATCTCCAGTCTCGAGCCTTGGAGCGTTCCTTCGATTCATAGCAACGGTCTTTTTCACCGCTATGTCTGCCAAGGCACCCCGTCCCGCCGCGCCCTCCACGCCAAAACCACCCGTATTGCCGGCAGCCCAGACGACATTCTTGCGAAACACCCGGCCGGCCGCGCGGCGACAGGCCCAACTCGGCCCTATTTCGATTGATCATAAATACCATTTTCGGGTGGGTCGCCCAACCTTCCCACAGAGCCGTTCTAGGCCACGCCACTGTGAACTCAATGCGCTCGTGTCGTTACTTCCGTTTTCCTCTGCAGCGTCTAACCTTCCCCCGCTGCTTCCCATGTGGAGGCCGCTTGATGCCATACACCGTCACTTCCTCCAATCAGCGAGGAAGTCCTTCTGACGGGAAGCGATAGAAACCGAAGGGAAATTAACAAACATAATAAAAACAAAAAAGAAAGGGGAAGACAAGAAGACGAACGTTTGAGAGCGCGGAGCGAAACGCTTAAGAGAAATCCACGCGCGCTGACGTTTCCGAATACTGACCCATGCGGTGCATAGTAATAAATGCCGGATTCCCTTGCGTTCGCGGATACCTGCCACTTTCACGAGCGGTAGGGCCAGCCACCAAGGGAGGGAGCTCGAGTGATAAAAGACCGCCCCGTCGACTACCACTCAGTGACCCTCGTTATCAACCTTGACTCGTTTACCATCGCAGCCTTGTCAAGCGTCGCAAACAATCGTCATACATAAGTTAATCCGCGCCACGGCCACGCGTGCCACCGGGGGCCGCAGTGCAAAGTGGGCGCCTCCCAAGAACACATGCAGGCAGGCAAGCAAGCAAGCGGCGTTCCCTAGACCACATATGGCACAGCGGCCGCTAGAATACACGCAAAATTCTCGCAAACGCAACGAAAGGCATTCACAAATGGCCCACAGTCACAAGTTCCCGGATGTATGACAGGACCGATTTCTGTCACGCGAGGGGCGTCCAGACCCGACATGAGACCAGTGAACCTCGGCTAGGGGTGGGGAGAGCGAGGCATTAGGGTGAGAGCTAGAAAGCGTGAAAGACTGAAGTAGAAACAGTAATACAGATATGGTTTGAACGATCAAAACTGCAAATTTGTTGAGAAAGAGTGAGTGAGTAAGAGTAAGTGTGTGTGTGTGTGTGTGTGTGTGTGTGTGTGTGTGTGTGTGTGTGTGTGTGTGTGTGTGTGTGTGTGTGAGAGAGTGAGAGAGTGAGAGAGTGAGAGAGAGAGAGAGAGAGAGAGAGAGAGAGAGAGAGAGAGAGAGAGAGAGAGAGAGAGAGAGAGAGAGAGAGAGAGAGAGAGAGAAGGGGGAGGGGAGGAGTGAAGTCTAGTTACGGCAGTCTCAGCTTTCTCACCCAGATGACAATGAGGGCGGGAACACCCCCCCCCCCCTTCTCTTCCCCACGCTCCCCTAACTCCTCACCCCCCCTCCTCCTCCCTCAGGACCTCTTAACAGCCCGGAAACACACAGACGAAGGGATCTTTCGTCACCTTGCCCTCTGTACTTGCCTTTAACAACTTCTCGCGCCCCAGATATTGAATCTCGTCCCAAATAATGAA